CAGGTTGTAAAGGTGACACCCGCGTCTCGTTCTTCTACCTTGGGGTGACTGTTCCATAAAAATATGTGGCCGGCACCCAACTCCTCCAGCTGACCTTGTTCGGACAACCGGGTCTCGCTGAGGGCAGCGATATTCACCCTCTAATGCGCCTGTTGCGGAGCTACTACCGTTCCGGTCGGCTGCCCCTCGGATTGTCTAGAACGGGACAAAGATTCCGGGCTGCCAGAGCGAGCGGACTCACCCTACCAGCCTCTGGTGTTGGGCGACGGGGAGGAGGGAGGTTTGGTTTCTTGTTTGGTTGTTTCGACCGTGAGTCTTGCGTCTGCGGGCCACGGTCAGCGCTCAGAGGATGTGACCCCAGCATTCGTTTAGGGCACCTTTTCTAGCCCCTTACCTACCAGATGTAACAGCGCTATCCCTAAGTAGGGCTGCTAAGACATCCCAGACCATCAGACAAGCACACATCAAGTGTAACGATCCCTGGTGAAGTGGGGGGGGGAGCCGCGGTAGCATGACGACTGCATCCTATAAATACTGCAGCCCCTTGTGCATGAAGCATCCGAATCTGCTTTTGTCTCCGATGATTCGTTCGAGCAGGAATCCGAAACATCAGGCTCTTGTCCCGACGGTTCTTTGCGGTCCGCTCGACTTCTGATCTGAAAGATTCAGCTGCGGTTAGCGATACCCACACACATGTTCATGTCTGGCGATGAGCCAGGTATGCGATGGACTGAGTTCATCCTTGCCGCATTAGCTGCATGAAGAAGTTTGTACTCATTTACGTCTTCAATTCGTATTCACTTGTAAGCATAACCAGGATTTACCAGCCGGCCTATTACTTACTGAGATATGGGCCCTAGGTGATTGGCAAGACACCACCGAGAGCAATAAACCGCAGTTCTTTTAAATGTAATGATATTTTATTCTCTCTGAACGCGGTTGCATCCCTCCCAAAAATTGACCAGCTGTAAGACTTCAAGAAAATATTCATTCAAACAGCATAGACTGTTTAGATGAAGGTCAAAGATAGAATTTGTTCCCGGAAATGTTGCTTTTAAATGATGCGAAGTAAGCGATATATATGCAGTGATTTATGGCAGGTTTTCATAAAGCGCTAGTAATCCCACGCTGTGGCTGGATGTAGGAGGGCAAGGCAGGCAGTCGAGGAGAGTGTGCATGCTGTATGCTGGTTCGCGAGGCATTGGTTGGCCAGTCATTGTGCGATGGGTTCCCAAGTGACCGACGGGGTGAATGTGCGGTCGGAGAGAGGACAGGTTGGGTCCGAGTCCCCATCACTGGAGGTTGGGGTGGTGATGACGAATTCGTTGGGGGTTGAGGGGGCGTTAGGAGGCTTTCGGCGTTTGGCGAGTGTAGTAGAGACGATCATGTTCGTCGTCGTCGTCGTCGTCGCCGCGCAAATGTGTCGCAGGTGTGATAGAGAGATGGCGGTGGCCAACAGTAGTGCGACGCGTGGAATCGGGACAACATTGGTGAGGGCGGACGCCATCGTGTCCGACATGGATGTCGGAGCAGGGATGGTCGTGGATGCAGCAGTTGCGATCGTCGAGCGGTTGGTGCATTGGGTCTGAGGGCGACCGATGAGGCTGATCCGCGTGCGGAAAGTTTCGTTGGAAGCACGGACACGTTGGGTGGGGTTGAGTGACACTTGGGATTAGCAAGAGGCTTTTGACTTTTAAGGCAGCCATACGACTTGCTTCGTAGATGGCTGCGCCAGTCTTCAATTCTCTTCTTCCGATCGACCTCTTCTGAGGGATGTCCTCTCTGGTCTGGTGCTTGATGTGCAGTCGCTTCTAAGTGTCTTTGCAACGTCTTTTCTTGTCGTCTGGGTCGCCGAGCACCCGTGGTAACATTTCCGTTGAAGAGTTGTTTTGGTAGCCTGAGTCGCTCATTCTCACCAGTGGGCCTCTCCAACGCAATTACAGTGTCCTCAGCGGGGGCGTGGATGCAGAGATTTTCGGTCTGTTCCAGGACATCCGTGTCCGGGATCTTGCCCTACCCTGATTATTCTGCTGAGATGGAAGTTATTGAGCTCCTTGGTATGGCTGGAGTGAACAGTTCAAGCCACCGCTTCGTACAGAAGTGTCGTTAAGACGACAGCCACGCAAATCTTAAGTTTTGTGTTCAGTTGAAGGTAGCGGTGATTCCACACGGAGGCTTGCAGTCGACCGAAGACATGGCTGGCTTTGCAGAGCCGACGGACAACCTCGTCATCCTTTCTTGTGCTGCGCCAGAGTATACTCTATATGTGGGTTCATTTCTCCACAACTTTGAGTTGGCTGCCGCTGACATTGACTCGAGGAGTGCGGTATTCCTTGTTGGCTGACGGTCGATACATGACCACCGTTTTGTTCGTGTTTCTGGTCAGCCTGAGGTGAGCGCAGCAGGTGGCGATGAGATTCGTGCTCCGTTGCATGTCCTCTTCGGTCGTGGTGTTGAGCGTGTAGACGTCGGCGAAGAGTAGATTGTGGGCTGTGATCGCAGATAGCCGATTTGGAGCCCGCTGTTGGGAAGATGCCCGTCATTTCTGTGGGCGATGCGTATCCCTGGGAGCTCATCGTGGTAGGCGTCCATCAGCACAGCAGAGAACATGAGGCTTGCGAATACCTCGAAGATTGCGTCTTCCATGACGCAGGCCGTCATCGCGTTGTGGAGCTGATGTATCATGTGGCCGAATTTATGCATGATTTTGCACAGTCCCTCGTGTCTCAAAGGCTTTCGTCAGATCCGCGAACGTGGTGTAGAGGTGGGTTCTCATATTCTGGCACTTCTCTTGCAGGTAGTGAGCGGCGAAGGCATTTTCGGTGGTGCGGAATAATGTGTCGGTCAGGAGAAGACTGTGTTCTGTGCGGGCTGCCAGGAAAATGAGACCATTACCGTTGCAGTCGCTGATCCCTTTAGGACCCACCACTTCTCTCCGGGCAACGTACTCTGTCCCCGCGTTTGCACTGATATCGCTAAGGACAACTAGCTTGTCCACTTTCGACACAGTCGTCACGAGTGCTTGCAGGTCTTCGTAGAATTCAATCTACGCCTCAACACAGCTGGTGATTGGGAGGGGACGTAGGTGCTGATGACGCTGGCGAATTCGCATCCCCGTAGAGGCAGGCGGAGGCTCATCAGTCGGTCGTTGATTCCCTGTGGTTGGCTGAGGGGGTTGGAGCGTCCTGCGATCGTCACCTGGAGTCGGCCACGGGAGAAGGACCGCCTGCACCAACGTTTTCTGATAACAAAGAACTGGTCGAATGGCTACCGCCTCGGATGTTGCCAGCACCAGCTGACGTGAGCCTTTAGATTTGTGGTGGCCGGTAGACCACCTGAAAGACTCCCCTGGCATCGACTCGGTGCACGATAATGAAAGCTGAGATCGATCTGTTCTCCCCTTTGCCTAACCAGACGGTGAACCCATCGATATACCATATATTTCCCTGTATAGCCGTCCATTAAAGAGAAATCGGACATTATGTGTATATCGAGTAAGTAGTTCCTTCAAAGCCCTCGCTGGCATGCCAGTTTGATAGCCTGTACTTTGAATAAAGCTGCATAGGCAGTTTATTGATGCTATAGGTGGCATACTGGCAAAGCTTGGTGATGTATTTAGGAGCAACACATCGCGTCAGCCAACGTTACAATTCACATCGACGAACTCAAAGAACTGTTAGGTTTCGGAGGTGCGGATTCTGCTTTTCTGCCAGCCACTTTGCAGTGGTGTGATAGGGCGAATTTACCATATCCAATATTGGTCGGTAGGGTAGCCCTTGTTTGTGATTGTTTAGAAGTTCGTACATTCTGGTTATCGTCGTACCCACGGGCCCCAGTCGTTCATACTCTTTATCTGACAAAGGCCGTTCTTTGTGTACTCTCGTCAACTGATTCGTGACGGTTTCTGCCCGAACCCAGTCTTTCTCGGTTTTCGAGAATAAGGTTGGCAACTGATAATATTTGTTCAAGTTTTTGCCTCTTGATTTCCTCAGAAATTAAGAAGCGATAATTTGTAGACTGGAATATCTACCAGAAGGTAGAAGGGGAATGCTGGGGGTCCCTCTGAAGAGCCGAACCCTTCGCAGATATGTCATGCAGCGTCAGAATATCGGCGAGACAGGTGTGTCTGGGCTTTTAGTGAGTACCTGTGCTGCTAATACAATATCTTGTAACCCGGAAATTTCTCCAATTTTCGCCACATAATCCGTCCTGTTCACTAGTACTATTCGTGAACCTGTCACTGTCTAAAACACTATTTCTTCATGCTCAACCCTGCGACAGATGGAACTGCTGAGTCTTGCGACTTAGTAGTCAGCATCGCAGGCCTCCCCTCTCTCTGTGTGTTGATTCAGATTGCGCTAGCGTGCTATACGAATCGCACCACATACCAGCAAGTGATAACATCACGTCAGATGTCGAACTTTCCAAACCTTGGGTTCGTTGTTCGGCCCATGCCACAGGCGCAGAAGTCGTCTCAGTACTTTATTGTCCGGTTGTGTCTATCGATCTGAACTGCAAGAGCTCTGTGAGGGGCGCTGCCCATTGTTCTCACTCGCGCAGTCGATCGTGCGTCATGCATGCCGGGACGGTGCAGCTAAGCCCGATGATCACTTGACTGTACCAGCGCCTACTAGCTGGGCCGCTTGATGCGCGTAGGGATGACTCATGGTCCTGTGCGCGTGCGTGAGAACAATGCACCGTACTCCCCCACAAGGGACGCTTGCAGTTAGGCTCGGTAGACCCGAGCGGACAGCGAAGTACTGGAACGGCTTCTGCACCCGGTGCCTGGGCCGAACAAGGAACCTACAGTTTGGGAAGTTAGAGGGCTGACGAGAGGCATAGAGCCGAATGGCTGGGTGGTATAATTTCTCACTTGCTTGGCCACTCGGCGTGATTCCTATGGCATGCTAGCGTAATCTGAGTCAACACACACAGAATGGAGGCCTGTTATGCTGACTACTAAGTCGCAAGAGTCAGTAATGATTTCCTCGTGCGGTTGAGCTCGTTCAGCTCACGTACACACGCACACAGTCTCATTTGCCCATTTTCCCTATGATCTGAACACTTATTTCGTCTTTTGAAATATCTGCCTCGTTCCGCAAAATAGGAGAACCTGAATTGGCAAACACCCCACAATCACTGTCTGATTCCTGTACAAAATCATTGACGAACAAAAGGAAAAGGGTCGGTCAGAGCACTGAGTATTATCGGGGTCCACTCTCCATGACTGTGCACCTTGATTACTGCTGACCTTCCGAGGCAACTTGAGAAATACCGACGGGGATTTCGAGGGGTGCATGCGTTGATGGCCGAGTCTGCAGTGATTTGTGGCAGGTTTTCATAAAGCGCATGTGACCTAGTAATCCCACGCGGTGGCCGGATGTACGAGGAGAGTGCGCATGCTGTATGCTGGTTCCCGAGGCAATGGTTCGCCAGTCTTTGTGCGGTGGGTTCCCAAGTGACCAACCGGGGTGAATGTGCGGTCGGAGTGAGGACAGGTTGGGTCCGAGTCCCCCTCACTGGAGGTTGGGGTGGAGGTGGCGAATGCGTTGGGGGTTGACGGGTTTTGGTGAGTGTAGCAGAGACGGTTATGACAGGAGGCACTCACCGATAGTTCTTACGGAACTCACTCGTTCCGTTGTGCCTTACGGACTCTCACCCGAGCCCTACCAGCAGCCGCACAGCAGCGCATGATATATAGGCAGTTACGTTGTGTTCATCATCGTCGTCGTCGCCGCGGCAAATGTGTCAGATCAGAATTTTAACCATCAACAAATTGATCGAAGTCTCCCGCAGCCGGAGCCATGCCTAGGCCTGCCGCCACATCCGACTCGGATCGCATGAATTGGGAGTCTCATAAGTCCAAGATAGCCCGCCATTTGGCAACCTTCCAAGTCACGGCTTCGAGCGCATCTTTGTAGCTTTAAGTGCACTGAGTCGTCGACCTCACCCACTTACCCCATTCCCAGGCCCCAGCCACTGTCCGGACCATTCAGTCGTCAGGTGCGGGTGCTCATGACGAATGCGTTGGGGGTTGACGGGGCATTAGGAGCATTTCGGTCTTTGGCGAGTGTAGTAGAGACGGTTATGTTCGTCGTCGTCGCCGCCGCCGCGGCAAATGTGTCCGAGGTGAGAGAGAGATGGTGGTGGTGGCCGACAGCATTGCGACGCGGGAATCGGAACGACGTTGGTGAGGGCGGACGCCATCGTGGCCGACATGACGGATGGAGCAGGGATGGTCGTGGATGCAGCAGTTGCGGTCTTCGAGCGGTTGGTGCATTGGGTCTGAGGGCGACCGATGATGCTGATCCACGTACTGAAAGTTTTGTTGGAAGCACGGACCCGTTGGATGGGTTTGAGTGACAATGATGCGAATCCATGACACCTAGGACTAGCAAGCGCCTTTTGGCTTTAGCGGCGGCGATCCGATTGGCATCGTAGACGGCTGCGTCAATCTTCACTTCTTTTCTTCAGGCTGATTTGCTCTGAGGCAGGTCCTCCCAGGTCTCCGGGTTGATCTGCAGTCGCTTCTTAGTGTCTTTGTCACGTCTTTTCTTGTCCTCTCGGTCGGCGAGCACCCGTGGCAACATTTCCGTAGAAGAGTTGTTTTGATAGATTCGTTCATTGTCACCAGTGGGCCACTTCGTCGCAGTTGTAGTGGCCTCAGCAGGGCGTGGATTCAGAGGGTTCCAGGACTTCCGTGTCCGGGAACTTGTCCCGCCATCTTCACCTTATTACTCTTCTTAGGCTGCTGAGATGGAAATGATTGAGTTCCCTGGTATGGCTGGCGTGAACAGTCCATGCCACTGCTCCGTATAGAAGTGTCGTTATGACGACGGCCTTGTACATCTTCAGTTTGGTGGCCGTGGTGATTCCAGACGATGGCTTGCAGTCGACCGAAGACCTGACTGGCTTTGTAGGGCCGACGGACAACCTCGTCATCCTTTATTGTGCTGCGCCAGAGTGTACTCCCCAGGTGAGCGAATTTGTCCACGACTTTGATTTGGCTGCCGTTGACACTGATTCGAGGAGAACGGTATTCCCTGTTGGCTGACGCTCTATGCATGAGTATGGTCAGCCTGAGGTGGCATGTCCTCTTCGGTCGTGGTGTTGATCGTGCAGACGCCGGCGAAGAGTAGGTTGTGGATTGCGATCACAGATAGCCGATTTGGAGCCCGCATGCGTCCGCTGTTGGGAAGATACCCGTCAGTTCTGAGCGCTCATCGTGGTAGGCGCCCATCAGCACAGCAGAGAACATGAGGCTGAAGACAATGGGGGCTAGTAAGCAGCCCTGCTTCACGGTCATGGCGAATACCTAGGAAATTGCGTCGTCCATGACGTACGTCATCATGGCGTTGTGGAACTGAGGTACCGGGTGGGTCAGTCGTCCAGGATAGCCGAATTTCCGCATGATTCTGCACAGTCCTTCGCGCCTCACCGCATCAAAGGCTTTCGTCAGATCCGCGAAGGTGGTGTAGCGGTGGGTTCGTATATCCTGACAATTCTCCTGTAGTTGGTGAGCGGTGAAGACACTCAGAGTACGAAAATGCGATCACTGGAACAAGAAATTTATTGGCCTGACGTTTCGGATTCTCTCTCAAATTCATCATCAGAGACATTCGTAGATAAAATTGGTGGTGGCACAAGGTGCGCAGTATTTATAGCTCGTGGCTGCCGTAGGGCCGCATGCGCACTGTAATTAACAGCTCTCGCAATCACCGCTGGGGTCGGAAGTGATGCGGTGGTGGCTCGTCAGTCCACGTCCGAGTCGTTAATTGCCGTCATTTCGTCATCCGTGCTGGATGCTGGTGTGACGATTGTTCGACAAATTGGCTCACTGTCACTGGGATAATCGCTCGCCAGTGCCCTCCCCACATGACTGATTCCTCTAACCCGGGTAATGTCTCAGCTCTGAATATGGTGCCGGTAGGTCATTGCGCTTGTCGATGGATTGCGGGCCTGAGAAGCATGACTCGAGCAGCTCGCGGCTCACGCGGTTGAAGACATTGTCGGTTATCCTACGGCGTCGTCGGAGCAACATTGACTCTCAGCCAGTGGTTCCTGCTCGAGATATGACTGAGGAGTAGGCGAGCGACGTTGCGTAACGAGACCCCTCGGTGGTTATCACAGAATCTCTGGATCCCTTTAGATTTATTAAGGTGGACGATGGTCACGTGCTTGAGGGACCTTTCCTTGTCGTCACACCTCCTCGAATAGCGCTGTGAGGTGATCGATCAGTAGGCGGCGGCCATGCTTGAGGCCTCATCGGAGCCTTCACCGCTCACTAACTACAGGAGAAGTGTCAGAGCATGTCAACCCAGGATAGCCGACTTTCTACATGATTTTGCTCAGTCCCTCGCGATTCAAGACCCCAATGGCTTTAGTCAGATCCGCGAACGTGGTGTAGAGGTGGGTTCACATGCTCTAACGAAGGCATTGTCGGTGATGCTGAAGAACGTGTTGGTCAGGAGAAGGCTGTGTTCTGCGCGAGCTTGTAGGAAAGGGAGACCATTGCCGTTGCAGTCGATGATCCCTTTAAGACCCACCACTGCTATCCAGGCGACGCACTCTGTCCCTGCAATGGCATTGAAATCGCCGAGGACAATCAACTTGTCCACTTTTGGCACAGTCGGCATGACAGCTTGCAGGTCTTCGTAGAACTTCGTCTTCGCTTCATCACATCTGGTGATGGGGAGGGGGACGTAGGCGCTGATGATGTTGACTCATTAGTCGATTGCTGATGTCGTGCGACAGACGGGAAGGTCGTCCAACCATGTCGTTCCGTGTCGTAAAGGCTACGCCCGAGTCTCGTTCTTCTACCTCCATAGGAATATGTAGCCGGCACCCAACCCCTCCAGCTGACCTTGTTCGGACAACCGGGTCTCGCTGAGTGCGGCGATATTCACCCTGTAATGCACCAGTTCCCGAGCCACTAGCGCCGTCCTCCGTTTCGGTCGGTTGCTTCTCGGATTGTCCAAACTTGAACGGACATTCCAGGCTGTCCGAGCGAGCCTCTGGTGTTGGGCGACGGGGAGGAGGGAGGTTTGGTTTCTTGTTTGGTTGTTTCGACCGTGAGTCTTGCGTCTGCGTGCCACGGTCAGCGCGCAGAGGATGTGATCCCAGCATTCGTTTAGGGACACCTTTTCTAGCCCCTTTCCTACTAGATGTAGCAGCACTATCGCTAAGTAGGTCTGCTCAGATGGCCGATGACAGTGGCGGCGACGTCGTCGGCGGCAGCGATTGGAAGGTTGTCTAGCCGTTGAGCTAGCTCATTGCTTAAATGAAGATGGTGAGCGGGCAAAGACAACAAGGCAACGTTCAGCTTACCTGGGGGTCGCTTACCTTGTGGTCTCCTGCGAGGCTGTAGACGTATACGCATCTTCGAGATGACGAGGCGATGGTCGGTCCACCCGTCAGCACCCGCGATCGCCTTCGTCACCAGCACGTCCCGCTGATCTCGCCTCCGGACGAGGTCATAGTCCAGCAGGTGCCACTGACGCGACCGAGGATGCCTCCAGGTGGCCTTCTCTCGCTCCGGTAGCCAGAAGAACGTGTTCGTCAGGATGAGGTGGTGTTCTGCGCAGGTGCGGAGCAGCAGCAGTCCGTTGTCGTTGGAGCCTCGGAGATCGTGTGGACCCAGCACTCCTCTCCAGGCAGTATGGTCTGTGCCAACGCGGGCTTTGAAGTCGCTGAGGGCAATCAACTTGTCCGACACACACAGAAACACACACACACACACAACTGGACAGACTGTGTGGACTGAATTGGACGTCAGTCAGCAGCCTTCCAAGTCACAGCGCTGGACGCACCGTGATAGCCTCCGACTCGAATCGCACATGCAGTAGGGAGCGCATAGAGACGGAGCCGAGACGCACACTCCCCACTTGCGTGGGAGGTAGCAAATGGGTGCTTGTGGTGGATGATGGTGATGTTGTGTGATGCAGGTAGATGAAGCTGTGAAGGTGTGGTTTAACCGATGGTTGTCTACCGCAGGTTTTCGTGAATGCTCATGTTCCTTAATAGGCCCATGCGAGGCGTGGATTTGCGCGTTCAATGAGAACAGTTGCGGAGGATGCGGCGAGTGTAGGTTGGTGCTCCAGGCACAGGCTCGCCAGTCTCTGTGTGGTAGACTCGCAAGTGACCGACCAGACCGATGCGGGAGGTAAATGTACGGGGACAGTGTGGGCAGGAAAAGTCGGGGGTGTCAGTGTCGGTTTTGGAGATGGTGGCAGTAGTGGAGTTGCTGATGGTGGACTTGCTGGGCGACGAGTTGTGGGTTGGGCTAGGCATACACACACACACACACACACACACACACACACACGCACGATATTTCGACAGTCCTTGCCGACGATATCCACCGTGTGCTCCACGACAAGGTGGGGACTGGGACGAGAAATTTTGCGTGACTTAGTTTATGGTGGATGTAGATTTGCACAGCATCTGCTGCACTCTCTCCTCCCCCACCTTGACCCGGTATCAGGACAGAGTAAAAAGACCGAAGGCGGGGGAGGGCGCAGGTGGGTAGAGCGGTCTGGCCGGCAATTGGACCTGCCATCACATCCCCGTGATGTTGGCATTTGTTTTGGTGCGCATTTCGATAGTGCCCGCCAGAATCCAATATGATCCGCGCGTTGGTCCATTGCATCTACCACGTGGCCCGTTTGGGGTGGGGAACACACTTCCCACATGCATACACATTAGATACCATGTCTTCGACCTTTAAAAATGCTCTTCAGGCCTTTGCCCAGTAGTGCTGTATATGGCGTTTGTTCCCTTTCTGGAAACAGGTGCTCAGTTATGTTCTTTGGCGACGATCTTTAGCCTCAGTTACGCATAGCCGTTAACAACATAAATGTTCCCGGTGTTGGTAAGGGTCATGATATTTTATACCCCTAGAGTCTAAATGCTTCAGAACACTTCTCCTTGATTGTTACCGTAGCCCGCAAAATGGCCGAGTATTCCCTCCGACATTTTAAAATTAGCGATATTAGGACTTGCCCGTTAGACCAACTCCGGAATACTGCTTGTTATCACTTAGTCTCCAGCGCGCGGTTGAGCAGAAGAAAGAGGATCTGCTAGGCCTCTTTTTAGCCGAATAGCTTCGACACCCAAAAAGGAAATGTGATTCACCAAGAACATTGTGGACTCACAAAGTTCGATCCGTTGTAATTTCGCCGATCACAAAAGATACTCTTTTTACTGTTTAGTTCTTCTAACAATCGTACTTCTAGTCCCCTTACTACTTTGAAGCATCTTAACTGCCTCGACGCAACAGTCACCGCGAGGCCTTTTTATTTCTTCCGCTGGCACGTACAGTTACATGCCGTCAGTTCTTTTCTGTGAACACAATTGCAACTTGGTATAAGTTTCCCAGATACATAGAGTTCCTGCGAAAATTGTTTTTTGTTTAAGAGAACTATCGTTCATTTTCTGCATTCAGAAAAACCACCGGGCTAGATCGCAGTTGGTGGCCAGGAATGGGGAAGCGGACGGCGACCCTGACCCTAATCCTAACCTTAACCCTATCTTCAACCCTAAACGTTAACCGTTAACCCTAACGGCAACCCTAACCCTAGCCGAAATCGTAAACGTAACTCTAGCCTTTAGACATAGCCGTAACTGAAAAACCTAACCGTAATACTAAAACTTAATCGTACGCTCAAACCCTAACCGTAACCCGAAAATCGGGAAAAAGCAACCGATACCCTAATCCTAATCACAAACGTAAAACAGATGCCAAGTGGGTCAGATATGATTATGAAACCCCAGAAAATAGCCCAAGTAAACAAATCCCCCCAGCCACCTGTAATACGGGGCCTGGCTACCAACTGCGATCTAGCCAACCACCGCTTTCAGGGTGCTGAAGCAATCAAGGTGAGATCTTATTTCGTAGCCGCACCTGTTAGGGGTTAGTGTCAGGGGTTAGGGTTAGGGGTCGGGGGTTAGGACTAGGGATTGAAGTTAGGGTTGGGGATTAGTCAGTATGTTAATACCAACGAAGACAAGGGGGACTGGAATGACCATTTCTGGCTTATTGGCCGTCGTCAGCCAGTCGTACCCAATCCGAAGTGTGGCACACCCGAGGCTCGAACTCGCGACCTGTTAGTTAGAAGTCCACGCCTCTAAACACTAGGCCACGAGCCCGTTGCCTTGTCGGGGGCGCTCACCGATCGTTCTCGATCGAAAACCGACAGGGCAACAGGCTCGTGGCCCAGTGGTTAGAGGCGTGGATTCCTAACTAACAGGTCGCGAGTTCGAGCCTCGGGTGTGCCACATTACGGGGTTGGGTATGACTGGCTGACAACGGCTAATAAGCCAGAAATTGTCATTCCAGTCTCCGTTGTCTTTATCGGTAATAACATACTGCCTATATCATGCTCCCCTATGCGGCTGCCGGTTGGGCTCGATAGAGTGCCCGTAATGCACAACGGAACGAGTGAGTTCCGCATGAACGCTCGGTGAGCGTCCCCTACCACTAGGGGTTAGTGCTTTACGCCCTGTTACCACCTGTGCCGTACGACAGGCGGCTTGTCTACTGTGGGTGCGGCTACGAAATAAGATCTGACCTAAATCAAATTAGTCTTCCGTATTCATGGAGTTCATGGTCTCTGGTTTCTCCGCCCGGCCTTATCTTGTGAGAAATTGAAACCAACAACTCAGCGGGTAACGTCTTCCGCCGACAACGAGCGACTACTCACCCATGCACTCTCTTTGCACTCCCTATTTCGTGAGAAGGAATGGAAACTATAGCATTCATTGCACCATTGCCAACTGTTCCTGTTCTAGAGTTGCGAAAATTCCCATAGCAGTAATCAGAAGAAGAGGTGGCGAGCATACGTAGCTTTCGATAAATTCTCGTCGGGCCAGTACAGTTATATGGGAACGGGGTAGAAGTAAAACATGTCAGCGATAAGAGAAATCGATAAAAGTTCTCCCTAAAACACAGGCGGAGTGTGGGAATGGGGGGGGGAGGGGGGAAGGGGGTTATGGCAGTCACTGTCAGGGGCGGGGTGGGAGCGGAAGGACGCGGGAGAGTTGCAGCATTAGTCGACCTTCGACCACTGTAGGCGCGGTGCCTAAACGCGGTTCTTCTGTACGCCTAAGGTTGGCTTTCGTAACCTAATGGCGGCCGCTTCCTGTTCTGGGCCGCCGCAATTTCACGGGTTACAGTCTTTCCCTCAGGGGTTTTTTCGATCCGCTTTGAGAATGCCTGCAAACCGGAATTCAGCAAAATTATTATTGGTTCTGGGCGCTACTCTCTTAGTGGCTGGCACGCCGTCCTGCACGAAAGAGTTCCCGTATGATCACGTCTGAAAGATGGCGACAGTCTGCCTGCATGAGTCTACCAGTAAGGCCATCCAAGCGTGACCCGTGTTCATATTATCGGTACTCAAAGCTCTTCATCCTTTATGTTAATGACAGCCTTCAGAAACTCGACTGCGGTAAAATAATGTTTGTCGACAGCGTTAAGCTCTTGCAAATCATTAAGAGTCCAAATGACCAGAGAGCCCTTCAAAACAATCTGCACCGACTGCAAGCATGGTCCGAGAATAAGCTTATAGATTCCAATATGCAGAAGCGTGCCGTCCTTCATCTGCGTCCAGCCAACTGTCATTCATATGAGAGCCTGAAAACATACCACCTGGAAGACATTACACTTCCCACAGAATCTTTACAGAAGGATCACGGTGTTTGGGTAGAGAGCAACATGACACCAACGCTGCTGTGCAACAGGGCCGAAAAAAACGCCATGGGAGTGCTCCATGCAATCAGAAGGGCGTTCGTCACCTTTGACAAAAACCCCTTTGGGAGAGTTTACGCCAACTTTGTTCGGCCCCGCTTAAAAGATGGCATACTAGCATGGCGGCCATGGCTGGTAAAAGACCAAGCATGCCTCGAACGGGTACAACGTCGTGCAACAAAGCTGGTAAACGGCCAAAAAAGCCAATCCTACATAGAAAGACTGAATTGCCTTAATTCATTCCCTCTGTGTTACAGTAAGCAAAGAGGTGGCCTTATCCTGGTTTACAAGATAAAACATGGACTTGAGAATGGACTTAGCTTTGATGGCATGTTTCAGTGGCACCTTTCACCCAATCCTCGTGGTCATTCGATAAAGCAAC